TTTTTATGAGATGTGTTCTCCAGTCTCAAAAGCAACTTTTAGAAAACACCTTGTTTACACATCAGGGATTTCTATGGTCAGAAGTGCATGGGACACCTGGGTGGCTCAGTTAAATGTCGTCAACTCTTTTATTTTTAATTTTTTTTAAATGTTTTATTTATTTTTGAAAGCGAGAGAGACACAGAGTGTGATGGGGGTAGGAACAGAGACAGAGGGAAACACAGAATCCGAAGCAGGCTCCAGGCTCCCGAGCTGTCAGCACAGAGCCCGACACGGGGCTCAAACCCACAAACTGTGAGATCATGACCCGAGCCGAAGTCTGACACTTAATTGACGAGCCACCCAGGTGCCCCAAATGTCATCAATTCTTGATTTTGGCTCAGGTCATGATCTCACCAGTTTGTGAGATTGAGCCCCACATGGGGCTCTGTGCTGAGAGTGTGGAGCCTCCTTGGGATTCTCTCTCTCTTTGCCCCTCCTTCCCTGCTCATGCTTTCTCTCTCAAAATAAATAAACATGAAAAAAAATTTTAATGTTTGTTACTTATAGAATGAGAGATTCATGCAGGATCAGGGAACCTGCAAAAATGTGGAATCACAAAGCCATTAGGGAGCAATCGGTAAGGTAAGATGTTCCAAAGAAGTGAAACTGAGGAAGTCCAAGATTGGCAATGTTTGGCTTAGTGATAAGGTCAGCAGTGTCTATTCAGAAGCACTAGGCTGCAGGAATGCCCAGTGATTGAAGAAGCACAGCCAGTGGCCTAAACCAAATGTAGTCCGAGGATCAGCAGCATCAGCATTGGAAACGCAGAATCTCAGCTTCTTCCCCAGACCAACATATCAGAATCTGCATTTAATAAATGGGATCCCTAGATGATTCTTTTTTTTTTTTTTTTTTTTAATTTTTTTTTTTCAACGTTTATTTTTGGGACAGAGAGAGACAGAGCATGAACGGGCGAGGGGCAGAGAGAGAGGGAGACACAGAATCGGAAACAGGCTCCAGGCTCTGAGCCATCAGCCCAGAGCCCGACGCGGGGCTCGAACTCACGGACCGCGAGATCGTGACCTGGCTGAAGTCGGACGCTTAACCGACTGCGCCACCCAGGCGCCCCTAGATGATTCTTTTTTTATGTTTATTTATTTTGAGAGAGAGAGTGTGTGTCTGTGTGCACATGTGTGAGTGGGGTGGGGGAGCAGAGAGAGAGGGAGGGAGAGAGAGAGAGAGAGAGAGAGAGAGAGAGAATCCCAAGCAGGCTCCACGTTACTGTGGGGCCTGACGGGGGGCTCAATCCCTTGACCACAAGATCATGACCTGAGCAGATATCAAGAGTCAAAGACACTTAACCAATTGAGACAACCAGGTGCTCTGAGATCCTTAGGTGATTTTTAAGCACATAAAAGTTTGAGAAACACTACTTTCTACTACTCTATCAGGAAGTATAGTGACGTTAGGTAAGAGATAAGATAAAAGCCATAGGAGAGGGAGAGATTGGAAATGGAAATGCAAAACAAAGAAGACTGCAAGAAGAGGAGGCCCATGGAAAAACAAAAAGATCAAGAGGACTGATTAATTTGAAAAAAAAGAGGTGGGGCTTTTCCTTTATTGACAAAAATAGGAAAGAGGATGAGGAAGTGTGAGACCAAAGGCAGAAAACTGAGAAAACTCCATAGGCAATGACCCAGTTCTCTCCAATAAAATTGATCGGAAAGTCAAACACTGAGGAGGACAAAGAGGTTTTAGGCCAAACAATACTCCATAAATTCACAGGGCTCTAGTTTAAAATTTTTTTTTTTCAACGTTTATTCATTTTTTTGGGACAGAGAGAGACAGAGCATGAACGGGGGAGGGGCAGAAAGAGAGGGAGACACAGAATCGGAAACAGGCTCCAGGCTCCGAGCCATCAGCCCAGAGCCTGACGCGGGGCTCGAACTCACGGAGCGCGAGATCGTGACCTGGCTGAAGTCGGACGCCCAACCGACTGCGCCACCCAGGCGCCCCCACAGGGCTCTAGTTTAAATGGCATTTACTTTTGGGTCGCCTGGGTGGTTCAGTTGGTTAAGCGTCCGACTTCGGCTCAGGTCATGATCTCATAGTTTGTGAGTTCAAGCCCCGCGTCGGGCTCTGAGCTGACATCTCAGAGCCTGGAGCCTGTTTCGGATTCTGTGTCTCCCTCTCTCTCTGACCCCCCCCCCCCATTCATGCTCTGTCTCTCTCTGTCTCAAAAATAAACGTTAAAAAAAATTTTTTTTAATGACATTTACTTTTGGTGGGGTGCCTGAGTGGCTTAGTCGGTTAAGCGTCCAACTTCAGCTCAGGTCATGATCTCAGGGTTCGTGAGTTCGAGCCCCCTGTCAGGCTCTGGGCTGACAGCTCAGAGCCTGGAGCCCGCTTCAGATTCTGTGTCTCCCTCTGTCTGCCCCTCTGCTGCTTGCACTCTGACTCTCGCATTGTCTCAAAAATAAACATTAAAAAAATTTTTTTAATGACATTTACTTTTGGTTAACATTTCTTTGCATTTCTTCCTGTAATTCCTTTAAATAAGTACGCTTAAATGGATTAAAATTTTAAATACTCACTGGCCATTTACAATAAAACTTCCATTTCTATAAGTAGCTTGATAAGCCATGAACTTCACTAGGGCCAATGTTATAAACTTTGATGATATATTAAGTCAAATAAATATCATGGTTGCAAAAATGGATAAAAACTTGAAAGAACAATAACATAAAAAATCTTTACCTATAGTTTTTATGTCTGCAAAGTTTGCTAAATCAATAAAATGATCTGAAAAGTTCATCTCACAATCAGATATATTAGTGATTTACTTCATTGGTTTTCTGAGGACCATTTATCATGAGGTAAAGCATCTTCAGAATGAATGGTGGAAATAAAAAATTTGATGTGCTTGCCTCTTAGATAAACTAAATATCTGATTTATAAGACACAAACGAACAAACCACTATGGCCTGTCATGTTTTTCCAGTTTCTAATTTATTCAACCTCTGCTCAATATTGATCCTGACAAGCAGAGTAACCCAAAGATAAATTTATTCACTCTACAGTTTAGTCAGAAACAAGCCAAAAATTATAGATTTTCCCAGGCAGATGATGACAAGCAGTCAGGGGGATGACAAATGGCTGTCTTTAGATTTAGTTAGGACAGTTGGACCAGACATTTCCAATAAAGATTGCATGCTGGTCAAATACAGGTTCATCAGTGGCCATCATTAATTGTAGAGCAAGCACTGCCAGTTCCTGCAAGCGCCTATACAGAAGCTTGGGCACCAGCCCTGCATTAGAAATAGAATCAGCTCCTCAGTATTTTGCAGCACACCTCTAAGTGATAGCATGACATGATCATTTATCAAACAGAGACTGTCCAGAAGAATGTCTGCTCCCTTTAGTAACACTGAAGGGCCGGAAAGTGAAAGCATTTTATTAAAGACAGGAAGGCAATGAACTACCAGAGCGTATCCAAAGGGTAATCATATTTCAGCATAGGATTAGTTTAGTCTTAAATAAACATACACTGGAGGGAGTATGTTGAGGGTCATTTATCAAGTGAGGAACAATTAACTAAACTCTACAGGACTCGCTTTATCTATTAAATTTAAAGTTCTCTTATTATTAACTTTTGGGACGATGGGCATCATATTCAACACTACAAAAATATATTACACAATTCCTTCCTTAGAAGTTTTTAGGCTAAGAGAAATACAGTGAAACTATCACATAAAATAATCGTGGCTGTATCAAAGGCTGTTGAACAAATACTGTGGACAGGGCATAATCCAGGGCCCAAGACTGAAGGATGAAGTTACAACTTCTGAAGAGAATTTTATTATAAGAAGTCAACTACTCATCGGTGAGTCAGGAGCTTATTCTTCCTTACAACAGTTTTTGCTCTTTATTGACCAAAATTAAGAGAAAGGTTATAAGCCGAGGGGTGGTAGGGCAGACAAAAAGAAAACCAACATATTTATTACTTCCCTTCTTTGTTCCAGACACTTTATATGCCACAACAAATAACCCTAACTATTTGCACTTTATAAACGAGGACACAGATTTGACTAAGGTTATACAGTAAGCAACAGTGCCAGAAAGGTTGGGGTTGTCTGTATTTTTTTAAATTCCTATATATTTTTCACAAATTATATATTTAGATACCTCAGAGTCTGGTACAGAACTTAGCCCATGATTCAGTAAGTATTCTGTTGAATAATGAAGTAGGTAGAATTGGAAATATTTTTACCATTTTATGTAGAAAAACATTGGTCTCAGGAAGACTAAGAGACCCACCAATCACTCTGCACTGGATCCTAGACCCCAACTGTCCTTGTAATTATTCCCCTAAAATATCATTTCTTCATGTAGACAGAGGCACATATCTGGATGTTCCAAATTTGTTACCTTCATGATATCACAAGAGTTTTGTGAGGATTTTTTTTTCATGTAAGCTCTATGCCCAAAACAGGGCTTGAACTCACTACCCCAAGATCAAGAGTCACGTACTCTACCAACTGACCAGCCAGGTGCCCCCTGCGGGGATTTTTAACATGTGGAAAGGAATTGTTCTTACAAGCTCATAGTAAAAAAAAACAATTTTCTAAAATCTAAAGAATAAAATACAGCCTTATCAAAAGAAATTTTTCCAGGGCACTTGGGTAGCTCAGTCATTTAAGCATCTGACTTCAGTGGCGCCTGGTGGCTCAGTCGGTTAAGCGGCCGACTTCGGCTCAGGTCATGATCTCACGGTCCGTGAGTTCGAGCCCCGCGTCGGGCTCTGTGCTGACAGCTCAGAGCCCAGAGCTTGCTTCCGATTCTGTGTCTCCCTCTCTTTCTGTCCTTCCCCCGCTCGCTCTCTGTCTCTCTCTCTCTCTCAAAAAATAAATAAAAAACAAAAAAAAATTTTAATATAAAAAAATAAAAAGTTAACTAATATGAAAGAAATACTGATGATTATGATATACTTGTGTCTTGCTTTTCTTTTCAAATTATAGGATTTGGAATTTTTACTGAACAAGTTGATGAAGCTGTGGAAAATGGATCTAAATGGAAATCCTGTTTGTCTCAAACCCAAATACAGAGACAGACTGATACTGGTGTCCAAATCACTGGGTACACATTTATATATATTAATATAATTTTCTTAGAGAAACAGACCTGGTTAACTTTTTAGTTATTTTAACAGAAAACCTTGAGAAATACAAATATGATATCTAAATCTATAAAAATAGTCAACTTTAAATTCAATAAATAAAAGCAAAAGTTAAAATTGAGAAATAAAACATGAAAAATATCTTCTGTTCAGAAATAATTAAGGCACCACATGCCCTTTCTTTAAAAAGAAAATGTAGCTGTTACCAACAAAAATGGTTAATCATAAATGTGTAGAACTTGCTGACCTTTTGCCAAATTCTCATTGCCACAAATCCTCTGAAGATCCCAAGAGATTCTTTAGCACTTGGAACTGTAGACAAAATTAATCAAAATTTTCATTGCTTGAAAATTGTCCTAAGAACGTACAAGTGTTCCCTTCATTTGAAAGGAGAGCAAGCTAGGGAGTCCCTTTAGGAGATCCTTAGAAATAATAACATCCTGATTGTGCACTATATTGGGGGTAATGGACCATAGCTTCTCAATAGGAACCACGTTATACAACATCAGAGAGATAAGGACTGCCTTCTCACAAAGGATATTTGTGAGGTTTCCTATATCTGAACTTCTATGACATGCTATACTTGAGTATAAAAAGTAATGTATGGGAAAACCACTTCAAAGCACATAGCTGTAGTAAACCTTGATTAATCATGATGCTAGTGCAGCAATTCTCTTGGGGGTAGGGAGGAGCTGACAGAGGGTATATCAGAAAAATCCAAGATTTTTCAAAATACATATCCAAGGGTCACACCCTGTCCACCACCCTTGACCCCACCAGTCAAGGGAAGGAAACAGAATACACTGGGAGAACAGTCATGTGTATTTTTTATAAGTCATGCAAATGAATCTGCAGTGCACCTTCCCCCAACTCTCCCATCTCCTTCCCTCCCTGCCTACCACATACAATTGTATTACTCCACTTACCTTAGGAAGCAGAGTAAATACAACTAATGTTAGATGATTAAGAACCTTCCAATATTAATGGAACCATTTCTGGAAACTCTTCTCATGATATAGTACTATAGGTGATGCAGTAAAAGATGTGGAGATAAGGTACTGATTTACAAATAAACAGGACTTAGTCAAAAAAATTTTTTAATAAATACTTTCTAAAACATATTTTGTGATTATAAAATCCATACACATTTTGTATAAAAATATACATTTCTTATAGAAATGCAGATAATATAGAAAAGAAAATGAGTATCATTCATAATCCCACCATAAATATGCTGTTAACGCTTCGCTATACGTCTTTTCAGTTTCTTCTCTGATTCTAACTTGTCTTATTTTCATGTCCTTTCTTCCTAAATACAAAACCAAAATACAGAAAGTGAACTGAGGACCTGGTTTGATGTGTCCCAGTAAGGACTGTGGGGAGGCATTTCATGCTTTGTAAGTAACCCAGTCCTCACTAAACAGAATGACAAGCAACGTACTTAGCATGAGTGGAAACAAATTTTATGTTAAGAACAACTCATTAAAACAAATCTCATAGGTCTCTGATCTTATGTCCATTACCTGGCTTCCCCTCCTGAACCACCTCTACATGATCATTGCTAAAAGATGAAATAAGGCTTACTGAGGCATAGTCTCCTAGTCACTACTCAGCTCTGTCTGGAACACTAACATGAGGAAAAAGGGATCATGGTATAGGACTTGGATTTTTCATTCTTTATCTTTATAATAGATGTTTTAAAAATATGTATTGATTTACATATATCACATCCAAAAATACACTAACAAATTATACAATTAAACAAATCTTAAAAAGATATCAATAAATCCAAGTGGTTGGGAAAACTAAGCATAAAATAATAACTGTTAATGTAAAGTGCTAAATACTAAGATGCTTGATAATAGAACTTTTAACCAATTTTTTACATTATAATTTGGAGAGTATTAATTTCAGTTAAAATAAGTACATAAGGCAATTGTAAACAATTGTACTTCTAAGGTTTGTGGTTCTTTATATTTCCAGTTTCATCACTTTATTTTGTACATAGGGTCTAACAATATTATGAGTCATATTTAAGTGGCAATGTTAATACTTTCAGTAGTGTAATCAATATTTTATCAGGTTACTGTCATTTTCTCTATAAGAATATGATTTCAAAATTTTTTTATTTAAAAAAATTTTCTTTTAACATTTATTTATTTTTTGAGAGACAGCATGATCTGGGGAGGGGGACAGAAAGAGAGGGAGTCATGGATTCTGAAGCAGGCTTCAGGCTCTGAGCTGTCAGCACAGAGCCTGATGAGGGGCTCGAACTCATGAACCATGAGATCATGACCTGAGCTGAAGTCAGATGCTTAACAAACTGAGCCACCCAGGTGCCCCTGATTTAAAATTTTTTACTACATTCTTTTCTCATTCTGGAATCCAGTGGAAGACATTACATGGATGATAAGAGAAAATATATATTTAATTTAAAAAACTACCATATAGGGGGCGCCTGGGTGGCTCAGTCAGTTGAGCTTCTGACTCGATTTCGGCTCAGGTCATGATCTCACAGTTCATGGGAGGGAGCCCTGCATCTGACTCTGCGCTGACAGTGTGGAGCCTGCTTAGGATTCTCTCTCTCCCTCTCTCTCTCTCTACCCCTCCCTATTCACTCTCTCTCTCAAAATAAATAAACAAACACAATAAAGGCCCCAAAACTACTATATAGAAAAGATAGTCTTTTTATCAAGTGAAGGCCACCTGTATTCATGTGATTACATGTAACACAAAATATCCTATAAGGGAATAGTTTAATATTTTATAATATATGTATTATGTATACATATATAATGGAATACTGTCAGCCATTAAAAATTGTGTTTAAAGAAAGACTTGGTAAAACGATCACAATACAATATTGAAAATTAGAATGTAATACTGCATAGAGTTCCAATTTTATATAATATACACACATATACACATACATGGATACATAAACAGAAAACAAAAAATGTTAAAAATATACTGTTAGTGGTCTTTAGTGATTATTTCTGGTTGTAGATATAGGCAATATTAATTTTTTTCTTTTTCCACTTTTGTATTTTCCAAATATCTTACAGCTTACAAAAAATTTTTTGTGTAATTTAAGATGCTCAATTTTCATAACTTTTTTAGAGGAACAAGATATAAATGTAGTTGAAATCTTCACAGAACCAAGAAGCTAGATTTGTGGGTTGTTCCTATTATATTTATATCCTATATAATAAGCATTATTAATATATGTGCTTTTAAAATACCAGGCTAAATGTATAAAACTTCTTATTCACTTTAACATAAAATATATCTTGCTTTTCCCTAAGAATAATAACCATAATATGGAAATGAATAGATAGCATCTAATTTTTGTTGAATATGACAACATTTTTGTTTTCAAAAACAACAATATAGTTTATATAAGACCCCAGAAGGGAAACTATACATCAAATTGTTTACAGTGATTATCTTTGTCAGTGATGGGAAGGAGAGGTATGAGTAGTAATCACAGTCTTTTTATGTTTTTTTCCACTGTGTTTAAGTTGTTTATAATCAGCACATATTTTTTTTGAAATCAGAAAAAAATAATTAAAAATAAATAAAAGCTCAACAAGAACAAAGATGTGCAAATAAGGTATTTTTAAAAGAAATTACTTCAACTTATGGTATAATTTAAGTTCAGATATAATTTAAATATATTACCTATATATTTAAATACTTTATTTTTTAACATATGTATTTTTCTCTAGAATTTCTTGATGGAAAAGAAATTAAAAATATGGAAAGACAATTCCTAATAAATTGGAAAGCATCCAAAGATGCCAAGAAAATCAGCAAGAAAAAGAACAGTAAAAACGAGGATGCAAGTAACTCATACATAAGTAAGCAGACTGTCATTCATTCGTTGATCACTTCTACTAGCAAAGGGAATGTTCTACTCAACAAAAAAAACCCCAAGAAATAAGAAACTTTTGTTTAGATTCTTTGCTTAAGATTTGGGTTTTTTTTAAAACTTATTTACAATTCCTAAGAAATTCCACCTGCAATGTTTACATATGAAAATGGTGGCTACTATCAACAAAAGCAGTTCACATTGAGTCTGACTGTGTCAGTATGAAAACAGAGCCATGAGGGTGGAGGAAAATGTATAATTTTATATCTGGCAAAAGTACATGATTTAATTATGTAAATGGTGAAACAACAATCAGCTACGTAAATTGTGAAACCTAAGTCCCTAGTACATTTGTTTAGCAGCAGTGCAAAAATCACATTTTCCATCATGATAAAAAATAAAAATGTATGACAACCATATCTGTGGTCTATACTCTGTAGCCTGTCCCCTTTCTTATGTACATGCCCCACCACTTGAATTTGATTTGAATTTGATTATAATATGCTTACTGTTATGTACATTACATTTTCTTTTTTTTTAATGTTTTATTCTATTTTCGATAGAGAGAGTGCGCACATGTGCACAAGCAGGGGAGGGCAGAGAAAGTGGGAGAGACAGAATCCAAAGCAGGCTCCAGGCTCTGAGCCATCAGCACAGAGCCCAATGTGGGGCTTGAACTCATGAACCGTGAGATCATGATGTGAGGCCAAGTCAGACACTTAACCACTGAGCCACCTGGGCACCCCAAGTTTACATATATTACAAAGGACAGGTCAACCTCCCTTGCCTAACTAATGCAACTAAATGTAGCCAAGTGTAACATGTAACAATTATCTTTTTTTTTTAATGTTCATTTATTTTTGAGACAGAGACACAGCATGAACGGGGGAGGGTCAGAGAGAGGGAGACACAGAATCCGAAGCAGGCTCCAGGCTTCGAGCTGTCAGCATAGAGCCCGACGCGCAGCTCGAACTCACGGACTGTGAGATCATGACCTGAGCTGAAATTGGATGCTTAACCAACTGAGCAACCCAGGTGCCCCACAATTATCTTTATCATATTTGGGAGCATCCTAGAATTCATTCTTCACAGATTCTATAGTCCACAACATTGGAATAAGCCTCTACCTCTGTTCCATGATAGTGTTTGAATGCCAACAGTCCTCATTTCACAGCTAATGGGATGGGATCATAGGAAGGGGTTAGGCCAGGGGAATACGGAAAGGGAAACTAGAATACTGTAGTGAGGCTTTATGCATGGATACCACATCCTAGGAGCTCTGACAATCTAGAACAAGGAGGTTGAGGTGAGTAGAAGCAGAGATGGAAAGGCATGGAGCTCTGATGATTTTGCCGTATCATGTCCACTGAATATGAACTATGGGAAATCATTTTGAAGAATGGGACTTTCTGAACTGACAGTATACTCACAAGTGATGATACTGTGCTGGCAATGTGAATCTTTCAAGGTCTGAAACCTATAAAATGGACAGGAAACATTTCTTCTCCTCCATCTATCCCTGGCTGGTTTTGAAGGGCAGAACCAGATCCAGGATAAAAATTCCAGTATTTTACGTGTTTTCAGTTTTATACCAAAGATGCCAAAGTACTTTCTTAATAATTGAAATACTGGGGCGCCTGGGTGGCGCAGTCGGTTAAGCGTCCGACTTCAGCCAGGTCACGATTTCGCGGTCCGTGAGTTCGAGCCCCGCGTCGGGCTCTGGGCTGATGGCTCAGAGCCTGGAGCCTGTTTCCGATTCTGTGTCTCCCTCTCTCTCTGCCCCTCCCCCGTTCATGCTCTGTCTCTGTCTGTCCCAAAAATAAATAAACGTTGAAAAAAAAAAAATTTAAAAAATAATTGAAATACTCACAAAATTCAATACCAGTCCTCACCCGCAAATTGAACCTATTCTAAAAATAATGCAGTTTTCTCCATCTTAATAGATTTAAAAAAAATTCTTCCTACTTCAGAAATAATTAGGTTAATCTGTTTTTAACTTCTCCAGTGAAATTCAACAAAATAACGATTATAATGTGCCCTAAAATTTATACTTTAAAAAAATTACACTGTCGGGCACCTGGGTAGCTCAGTCGGTTAAGCGTCAGACTTCAGCTCAGGTCATTATCTCACGGTTGGTGGGTTCGAGCCACACATCGGGCTCTGTGCTGACAGCTCGGAGCCTGGAGCCTGCTTCAAATTCTGTGTCTCCCTTTCTCTCTGCCCCTCCCTCACTCGCTCTCTCTCTCTCTCTCTCTCTCTCTCAAAAATAAACATTAAAAAAAATTTTTAATTACACTCTCATCTGATTTTCTCAATAAAATCCTCATTAATTTCTTCATAATCTAGTGTGACCACTAACTTAAAAAAGCAATCGTTAAAGCCATATAGATACAGTAACAACAAACTATCTGAAAAGTAAATTAAGAAAACAATCTTATTTACAATAGCACAAAAAAGAATAAAGCACCTACAAGTAAATTTAACTAGGAAGGTAAGAAAAAAAAAGATGAAAGAACTGTATACTGAAAACTACAAAACACTAATGAAAGAAATTAACACAAAAATGAATGGAAAGACATCCTGTGTTCATGAAATGGAAAATTTAATATTATTAAAATGTTTATAATACCCAAAGCAGTTGACAGATTCAGTATAACCCCTATCAATATCTTAATGGCATTTTCACAGAACTGAAAAGAACAATTCTAAAATATATATGGAACGATACAGGACTACAAATAGCCAAATCAACCTTGAGAAAAAAGAACAAAGCTGGAGGCATCACACTTCCTGATTTCAAAATGTATTACAAGATACAGTAATCAAAACTGGCATAAAACAGCCATACAGATATAGGGAGTGGAATATAAAACTCAAAAATAAATCCATCTATAAATGGTCAACTGATTTTCAACAAGGGTGCCAAGAATACACAGTAGGCAAAGGATACTGAATTGTTAAGAAAACTGGATATCCACACACAAAAGAACACTTATACTATACACAAAAATCTACTCAAAATGGATTAAAGACTTAAACATAAGACCTGAAACTATAAAACTCTAGAAGAAAAAATAGGAGAAATGCTTCATGACATTGGTCTTGGCAATGATTTCATGGATATGACACCAAAAAACACAAGCAACAAAAACAAAAACAAACAAGTGATAGGAAGTACATTGAATGAAAAAGCTCATGCTTGGCAAAGGAAATAATGGAGTGAAAAGAAAACCTACAGAACGGTAGAAAATACTTGCAAACTATACATTTGATATGGGGTTAAGTTCCAAAATATATAGAACTGCTACAACTCAACAGCAAAAAAAACTAACAACCACATTTAAAAATGGGCTAGGGACTCAAACAAGCATATCCCCAAATGGCCTAAAGGTATATTTAAAAAAAAATTTTTTAACGTTTATTTATTTTTGAAGGACAGAGAGACAGAGTGTGAGCAGAGGATGGACAGAGAGAGAGGAAGACACAGAATCTGAAGCAGGCTCCAGGCTCTGAGTTGTTAGCACAGAGCCCAACGTGGGGCTCGAACTCACAAACCACTAGATCATGACCTAAGTCAAAGTCGGATGCTTAACCAACTGAGCCACCCAGGCGCCCCTAAAGGTATATTTTTAAAATGCTGAATGTCATTAATCAACATGGAAAGGCAAATCAAAACCACAATGAGGTATCACCACACACCTGTCAGATGGCTATTATCAAAAAAACAAAAGACAGCAAGAGTTGGTGAGGATGTAGAGAAATTTGAACCCTTGCACACTGTTCGTGGGGATGCAAAATGCTGCAGCCACTATGAAAGATAGTATGGTAGAACTATCATATGATCTAGCAATTCCAGTTTTAAAAGTAGAACTATCATATGATCTAGCAATTCCAGTTTTCTGTATTTATCCAAAAGAACTGAAATTAAGATCGTGAAGAGACATTAGCACTCCTGTGTTTGCTACAGCACCATTCACAAGAGCCAAGATGTAAAAACAACTTAAGTGTCCATTGACAGATGAATGGATAAAGAAAACATGGTATATACATACAATAAAATACTATTCAGCATTAAAATTTTTTTTTCAACGTTTATTTTTGGGACAGAGAGAGACAGAGCATGAACAGGGGAGGGGCAGAGAGAGAGGGAGACACAGAATCGGAAACAGGCTCCAGGCTCTGAGCCATCAGCCCAGCACCCAACGCGGGGCTGGAACTCACGGACCGCGAGATCGTGACCTGGCTGAAGTCGGACGCTTAACTGACTGCGCCACCCAGGCGCCCCTATTCAGCATTTAAAAAGAAGGAAATTCTACAACATGTGTCAACATGAATGAACCTTGAGGACATTATGTTAAATAAAATAAGTCAGTCACAGGAAGACACAATACTGCATGATCCCACCTATATGAGGTATCTAAAACAGTCAAATACATAGAATCAAAGAGTAGAAAGGTGGTTGCTAGAGGCTGGGGTAAGGAGGAAATGGGGAGCTACTAATCAAGGGGCCTTAAGCAAGATGAATAAGCTCTGGAGATTTACATTATCTATCGCACCTATGATCAAAAACAATGTATTGTATACTTAAGAATTCATTAACGAGGTAGATCTCATGTTAACTGTTTTTACCACAAACATTAAAAAAAAAAAAAAAA